AAATTTTTAAAAGATCTATCAGTTTCACAAAATATCTCTAAAAGTATAGCCCAGAGAACAGGGGGAAATCAAGGCTAGTTCTCTGAAAAAATTAAACATTTTTATGTATTAATGAAAATAGTTAAATTTGCACTTTCCACAGATGGGCTAAAATACTAGTCTTTTTTCTTCTTCATTAAACTGAGAAATATTTATTATTTAAGCCTGATGCAAAAGTTAGTTAAGGCTTAACTTCTCTGTGTTGCATACACCCACACACTGATTATAGAATGCTGTTTTGTTTTCTTAATTTTAAAATGCATAGGTAAACTAGCCTGGAAAGACTTCTTTTTCTAGACAACAGTGTTGATAAAATATAACATTAGAAGTGTTTTGTTGAGTAGACCTTTCAAATAAGCTGAGTATTAGTTCTGAAAAAAGGACTTGTAAGAGGTCTAAGACTACAGATTTACAAAAAATCTAATCAGTATATTTAAGTTCAGTGAAGATCCCAGTTTGTCCCTCTGTTAGAACTAGTTACCATCAAACGGAACTAAAAAGAGGTAAGTTCAGAGAGACAGAAAGAGGTGGTTATTCATTGAGAGGTACGTGACTAGCCACAGTCCTTTCTAACAGAGACAATAGCACGGGCGCATCATCCTTAGCATGCATTTGAGGCAATGGATTAGAGACAGTGCACTGCTTTGAGTATATGTTTGGTGTGACCCTCTGTGCATTCATCCATCCTGTGATCTTTTCACAGTGAGGCAGTGAAAATGAGGTGGAGAAGGAACTCTTAAGAAATTGCCTGACTACTTACAGGACTTTTTTTTCAAAAACATTTTCATCATTAGAATAAACTAATACCCAAATAATTATTTAAATACTATCAAATGCTAGAATCTTTAAATACTATGTGCACTTGCTATATAAATTTGGCTGTCACTACTTTAATAGGTATCAGTTCTGCTACTACTTTTTCTTTTCCTATTTATTTTTTTATTTTTTTCAGATCACTAGTGGTTCCAACATGTGGAATTTTAAATCTACAATTTCCAGACCAGAAACTGGTACAGATGACTGAGCCACTTACAGAACCCATCATACCATATCTGCATCCTGCTGATAAATTAGTATGTGTGACGGTAATAATGACAGTGAAGAGCATCATATTTGAAAAGTCATGGCAGAATGGTAGTGAAGTTCCCAGTTCCTGGAAAAGGAAGATATAACCTTCTAATTTTGAAAAACAAAAGTAGAAGGACCTGAGGAATTACAGGCTGGTCAGTTTCACTGCTGTGTTCAGCAAGATCATGGAGCAGATCCTCATGGAGCCTATACTAGAGTACATAGGAAACAGAGAAGGGACCAGTGCCTGCCAGCATGGCTTCTCTAAGAGAAGCGTGTCAAACTTTGTGGGCTTCTATGGATGATGTTATCTAGCTGGACTTGACTGGTCTTGCTTACGCTGAGACCCCTTGGACGAGGACACGAGGCTTGACTCCATTTTGATCAGAAGGCTGATTTATTATGATATATATTATACTAAAATGCTACATTACAGCTATACTAAAAGAACAGAGAGAAAGGGATCAGAAGGCTACAAAGACAAGAATAGAACAGGAATGAATAACAAAAATCTTGTGACTGCTCACAGCCTTGGCACAGGTGGCTCTGATTGGTTACTGATTGAAAACAATCTACATGAACTAATGGAAGATTCACCTGTGGCACTCCACAGCAGCAGATAGTTATTGTTTACATTTCTTTCCTGAGGCCCTCAGCTCTTCAGGACAGGAAAAATCCTAGCAGAGGCTTTTTCACTAAAAATCTTGGCAACAGACTGGTGTCTCTAAACCAAAGAGACATGGGTTTGATGGGTGGACCATTCACTGAGTAAGGAATAGAGTGGATGATCATACTCAAAGAGTTACTCTCAGTGTCTGGGTGGAGACCAATGACGAGTTATGTTCTTCTGTGGTCTGTATTGGACCAGTAACATCTTTTCTGGGAACATGGACAATGGGACTATGTACACTCAACAAACCTGTGGATCACACCAGGCTTAGTAGTCTAGGTGTGATCCAGATAGAAGGAATGCCAATCAGACGTACAACAGACTACTGATGTGGGTCCATGTCAACCTTCAGCACAGCCAAATGCAAGGATAGGGCAGCAAACATGGAGACAGCCTGGCTCATTAGATAGAGAACAGTTCTGCCGAGAAGGACATGGTGGATGAAAACCTGAATATATCCTGGCAATGTGTGCTTGGAGACCAACCACATCCTGGACTACAGGTCAAGGGAGGTGATTTTACCCCTCTACACGGACCCTGTGAGACCCCACCTGGAGCACAGAGTCCAGCTCTGGGGTCCCCAGCACAAAAAGATACAGACCTGCTTGAGTGGGCCTGGAAGAAGACCACAAACTTATCAGGGAATCTGGAGTACATTCTCTATGAAGAAAGACTGAGAGAGTAGGGAGTTCAGCCTGGAGAAGAGCCAGCTCCAGTGAGACCTTATAGCAGCCTTTCAGTGCTTTAAAGGAGCCTACAGAAAGGTGATTATGGACTCTATGAAGCATTGTGCTTATAGGACAAGCGGCTTCAGTTTTAAACTGAAAACAGTTAGATGTAGATTAGATATTGGGAAGAAATACTTTACCTAGAGAAGAGGGAAGAACTGGAACAGGTTTCCCAGGGAAACCTGTAGGTGCTCCCTCCCTGGAGTTGTTCAAAAACAGTTGCACGAGTCTGAGTAATCTAGTCTAGTGGTAGTATCCCTGTACAAAGCAGGGGGATTGGACATAGATGATTTTTAATTCTAATTCATTCCATGATTAGTATAACACTTAAGAAACATTTGCCATCCTTAAAAAACATTTTTCACAAAACCATTTAGTTAATTTTTTCAGTCACACATGTAAGTTCTCAAAAATTCACAATCCCACTTACTAGACTAATTTATTCAAGGCAAAGTGCATTTTGGAATGAGCTTCTTTAATAACGCCATTTTTTTCTCTCTTTTTTTTCTCTGTGTGTGTCAAGAGGAGGAGAAGAAAAAAGACCAGGAAATCATAATCGGTGTTTTAATGAATGGATGTGACAGTAAATAAATAATAAGTAAAAATGCTTAAACTCTTGAGCATTTCACATAATAATTTGTCCCATTTACTTTGACCTTTTTCTTAGAAACACCTTAGTGAGTCAGAAACAGTTAGTGAGATTCCAGCATTTGTGATACCAAGTTTTCCCTGTGATCAGATAATTGCAAACCTAGAGTATGTAAAATCAGAATACCTCGGCTTTCAAATGTTTCATTTAAGGTAGTGACAGGGTAAGTTTCTGCTTTCTTATCCATTTAGTAATCTCTAATTATTTTCATTTTTCTTTCCCAGATCAGACTGAAATTAATATCTCCAGTTAATAGCTTTGGAAACTTAACTGTGGCTATGAATTAATAATAGTAAATCATTATTTTCACAGGACAAACTCAGTTTTATCACAGGGTTTTTTGCTTACAAAGCAGTGCATTCAAAATTGTATTTTTATTGTACATATTTACACTTCCTCCCACCAATTTGAAACCTTCCTTTTATTCATGCCTGTTACCTGGTTTACAGTGTTGCAAAACCACAGCTGGGATTTGGAACAACCTTAAAGGCTGAAATTTGCTTACTTCTGAGTTCAATATATAATGGAATTATACTGAAATACCTATATTTATCTCAGGTACCCTACAGATTCCCAACTTTCTTTATATATTATGGGCTGAGCATACACAATGAACTTCCATAGGACATATATACACTTAAACTTTATTTGAAGTGTATTCTAATTGCTCTTTAACCTGGCTGCAAGACAAGGTCAAACTGACAGGTTTTTAAAGATATTAAAGTTCTAACAGATAGATGACAGACATATCAGTGTTAAACAAATCACTCAAATATGCTACCACCTCTAAAAGTATATCAGATTTTATCAATACTCCTCAAAGTTATCTAAATTTTAAGCAGGCAACTGAGTCCCATGAGTGTCAATCCTTTGCTGATACTAGGTGCTTTACTGAATAAAATATTTTCCTATTGCAGAAGTCATAGATTAATTAACATTTTAAATGACAAATGATCATTTATGTGATATCATTATAAAAAGCTAATGAAATCAAATCTGATAACATTAAAATACCAGCAGCAGTATGTCACTTCATATTTTAGCAAACAAAAAGGAAAATTGAGGGTCATTTTATGCTGTAAGGCAAAATTTAGACTGTGATTTTCATATGCTGACTCAAAGATTTTGGGCTGTTGGTAAGAATCTGGTGGTATTACTGTTTATTACAGTACATACAAAAATAGTAATGTATCACAGTTAAAAATAAATAAATTTTAATCAGTAAAAAATGTAATTACAGCATTCAGGGGAGACTCAGAATATATTCTCCTGATTGCCAGAGATGCAGTTTGTGGAACACTAAGACAAAATCTAAGTGGCGCCAGTTCTCACATTTAATAGAGGAGATTTCCTCATTCTCCTCATTCTGCTGCTGTCCTATGTAGTCTTAGCACTGGCTGTGAACAGCCTAAAGGCTTTTAGCATGTGCTATGTTATTATTGGAAAAGTCCTAAAAGCAGAGTCAAGAAATAGCAATATTCAACTTTTTTCCTCCATTCCTAAGAGGAAATAGGGAATAGTTGTTGATCTGGGTAATTTACTCTAAGCTATTTTAAATTGGGTTTCCAGTATGGAACATTGTCTAGACTTTTCTAAACATTTCTAAAGAAGAGATTCAGAAACTCCTTTACAATGTAATCCTTTCCAGTGGTCTCGAGTGCATTGATGGTGGGTATCAGTGTGGTAGACTGAGACACTATCTGCTAAACTTCCTCCACTCTAAATATCAAAGTATTAACCTGGGGTACACTGGTTGCTATTCTAGAAAAAACTCTGCTGACTTCTGACACCTCTCATGTAGGTGAGTCAGCAAGCAGGCTTAGATGCGTTATGGCAGGAGAAAAAATTCAGTGTCAGCTAATTAGTATCTGATAGCTATTCAGGTGGTACTGGAGGAGGAACAAAGGGAAGGAGCAGAAATACAAAATAATTCAGTTAATGTAGAAGTCTGTTTCCTTCCAAGAGTCAGTGTCATTTGGACATTATTTTTCTGGCATGTCATGGAAAGAAAAAGGGATCCCCATCAGCTTCCAAAGGTCAGTGGATCCTGTCCAAGTGTTCAAGGCAAATCTTGCTGAAACCTGTTTATTGGAGAAGCAGAGAGCAATTGCTTGACTACTCTGTTCGCCCACTTTTTAAGGAAAGAAATCAAGTCAGATCCAGATCTCATCCAGCAAACTTCAATCGTCATGCTCCTGTGGGGCAACACCACTTCCTCAGAAACACTGCTGGGGTAAAGACCCTGCTGGGGTTTTAATGTAAACATGAATTAGGGTGGTATTTTGCTTCTTGATATAGATTTGATTTTTGGTTTTCTTTACCCCTAGGAACTGAAATAATTAGTTTAGCCTTAACTCAGGTTTTGGGGTACTACAGTGTGATGAAAATTATCAGATCCAAGGTCTGGTAAAAGAGCATATATATTGCTTCATTTTTGAGGTTTAATTCTATACTGGTCTGAAAAAAGCAACTTTCTCATCAGATTGTCTTGACAGCCATTCCATGACCGACCTGTTACAGTTAATTCATGGTTTTTTCCCTTACATACTGGAAACCATACTCAAATATGTTCTTTAGATAAACTTCAGTTTCTGGTGCCAGAAGATTCTCTTATGAAACAGAAAATTTTGTATCTGCCTTCTTAAAGTCAACAAAGTGCTGCCTTCTTGCTTTGACTGCAACCCCTGGTACGAGGACACGAGGCTGGACTCCATGTTGATCAGAAGGCTGATTTATTATGTTATATATTATACTAAAATACTACATTACAACTATACTAAAAGAACAGAGAGAGAAAGATCAGAAGGCTGCAAAGACAAGAATAGAACAGGAATGAATAACAAAAATCCTGTGACTGCTCACAGCCTTGGCACAGGTGGCTGTGATTGGTTACTGATTGAAAACAATCCACATGAACCAATGGAAGATTCACCTGTGGCACTCCACAGCAGCAGATAGTTATTGTTTACATTTCTTTCCTGAGGCCCTCAGCTCCTCAGGACAGGAAAAATCCTAGCAGAGGCTTTTTCACTAAAAATCCTGGCAACACTGCCTTAAGTCTTATAAGCAGTAGATTAATTGAAAGTGACTTGTGAAGTCAATATGTGAAATGGAAAAGCTCATTTCATCTTGTCCAATTTTTACATTACTCTATTTTCTCAGAGAACTACAAAGCTGAAACACTTTTCAGTAAAATTCTTCCTTAAAAAATGATCAGTTTTGTCTGCCTGTCATTGAGAAGGAATACATTTTCAGTGCTTTAGTATCAGAATATGCATCCCTCCTTTTCTCTTAACTCAGGCACTGGAACCGTAATGATCAAAGCAATTTCAGAAGGTACGTCTATTATGAGAGCCATCTCATTCACATGTGAGGGATGTGTTCTTTGTCTCCACTAAGAGAGCAGCAATAATTTCTATATCTGTTTTCTCCACTCAAATAATGTTGTGCCTTTTTCATGAAAAGCACAACAATTTTTGAAGAGGAAAAATTTAATTCCCCTTCAATTTTTGTTACTGTTGTAGTTTTATAACTTTTGAAGATTTTTTTTTAAATAATTTCATATTTTGATGCCAGGAGCTCCAGGATAATCACAATCCATTTCTTCTGCTCTCATCTACTTTGATTAATTTGATTGTACACAATCCTGACTTCTAGAAGGAAACTGGCAAAATACATATTTTCATCTGTGAAATGGATGCAGCACATTAAAAATAACAATAAACTATGCTGCAAAAAATATTTGTTTAACATTTTATCAACTGGTTTGATACTATGTAGCAAAACAAATGGAACTGCTCTCGGCTATTCTTCACATTTGTCCTCTATATACAGCATTCAATCATTTGTATTTAGATGTGTTAAAGAGAAGCAAGTCATTAGTAAATTCAGTTAGAGATATTTGCTGTCATACATAAGCAGGCATACTCATGGATCACTTGAGAAACCTTTATTAAGTCTTGAGCATTCTGATTCTGAACTCATGAAACTTACCTTCCTCAAGATGGCAGCTGAAGCTGGCAGGATGCTGAGTAAATACTGTGTTAAACAACAGAGAGAAGAGGAAACACTGGAGACAGGACATCTGAATTTCTGCTCTTTGGATTGGGACTGGGAAAGTGAGCATATAGTCATCTCCACCTCCTTGGGCTCTGCATCACCTGTTTCCCCCAGGAAAAAATTGTTATCCATCCATGGAATTTTTTTTTCCCTGTAGCCATTAAAGAGAGAGAGTCTGTGCTATTACTCCCCTCTAGTGGCAGTCTGAGTAGTTAAATCCTTCCTGTCTTGCTGGAAACATGGTGAAGTGCACGTCAGGTTTTCTTACCAAGATTATCTTCAACCTTTCTTGAAACAGCTCTGTCATATTCAAAATATTTTCAAGATTCATAAAGCTGCTGGTTATATTACCCATGGAATATTTTTCTCCATTAATGCCAAGGGTCGCTAAGATCTCTGTGAATAAGTTTTTACATGCCATGTAGAGAAGACAATCTATTTTTCCTCAGCAAAGTTCATGGCTACACAGTATTGCAACCCTTGTATTGCATCTTACTTGTTGTCTAAAAACTGTGGTTTGTATTTTAATTTCCTTTTTGCATCTAATGTTCTATGGCATCTCAAGAGGCTTAAAGTGCTACCCTGTGAAGTGCGACAAATAGATCTACAAATACAAATATTTTCACAGCAAGGAGCATGCGATTATAATCTCAAACGATGTGTAATGGTAATACTAATTGATAGAAGGCATTTAAAGAAATTAGCATCACTAAAAATGTAAGAATAGAATTAGCTGTGAAAATTTGTTGGCAGACAAAGGGTTTCTCAATAGTTTTTAAATAAAGCCATTTTTTTCTCACCGTCTGAAACTGTGCATTCAAAACACATTGCAAACACTCCAGAACATTTAGCAGCCACCTCAACCACCTTCTCCTCTCCTATAATGAGTTTACCTTACTGCAAAGTTAAGAACTGAAGGTGGCAGAACCAAACGTAAGGCAATTCAGAAATTGTCTATCATTGTTCTTTACATACATATTTAGATTTCTTATGATAATGACCAAGATGTCTACTCTTATCACCATATTCCATTGACAGTATGCACATCCAAATGCCAGAGTTAGGAGTCCTTGTGTGATCATTCCTCTAGCACTAATTTTGAATCTAGTTTTTTTCAGCATTTCATTATCTGCTGCTTTTTTTCTGTAGAGCACTCAGCCTCACAATATTTTATGTGAAGAAGAAAAATAAGTGAAACAGTGCAATTACCTCTAGTCACTCACTTAACTTTAGCGAAAACCCTTTTCCTCTTTAACGGTTTTAATGATGCTCTCTTTTGTAAGACATGATTCTGCAACTGCTGCTGTCTAAGCTACAACCATCCATTATCTTCATTATCTTTAAAATGTTTGGCTCCAAAGTAAAATAACAAATCAGATCAGTAGCCATGAATTGCCTTTTTGGTTTTGTTGAGGTCAATTTCTAGTAGGAAATTTTGAGGTTGGATCTAAAACCCCACATGCTGTATTTCACATCTTCATATCTTTTCCTGAACAGATTACAAGAGGATGATTTGAGGATTATTTTTTCTAGCCTTACCTTACTTACCCTGAGTAAGTAGCAGTGTTACAGCAATTTTTTTTTAAATCAGATGCCATAAACTAGTAGATAGTTTCTACAATATTGAAAACACCAGTCTTTAGGCCAATTCAGGTACAATTTGCATGCAGTGTATTTAAATATAATTACATTATCTGTTTTGTTACTATTTTTCAACTTTTGGATGAAAATATATATTAATTATTTTTATTCAAGATAACAGTATACTACTTTATGTTCTTGGTGACGATTCATTTTGTCCCTCAGGTAAAAATTGTTATGTTGTAAGCTAGATAAAATAACTGTCAAAGAGTGTAGAGATGTTTGCTTAGAGTATAGAGATGAATTTTTTAAATACCTACTGAAAACAAACATTGTGCCATCTGCAAATGCTATTCTAGGATTGTACAAACTGAGCCTAGATCTACATCATGGAAGACATATAATCTTTATTTTTAATTGGTATTTACTCTTTATGAAATTGGAAAGAAAATATAACTAATCCAAATTTTCACAGGTGAAAAAACACCTTGCTAGTAACTGAAGGCTCTCCATAGCCTGTAAAAAGTGTCTAAGGATGTATATGAGGTAAAAATTCATTATCATAGATTGATATATCTATTTTCTTAGGTATCTACATTATATCTATCTGTCTATCTATGTATGAAATATCCATATCTCTGTGTGTGTGTATATGTATGTATATGTCTATACAACATCGGAATTTTGAACACGTCTAAGTGTAGCTTTGGCTGGTTTTCCTGTTCAAGGAAGAGAGTTATCCTCCTCTGCTAGGTTAGTAGCTTTGTTGGCTGGCAAATGAAGAGGACAACAGAGTCCCACTCCTCCAAAATTAAAACCTTCTAGCTCTACATTTATTTTATGGCTTCTCCATACCCAGCTCTGAAAAAACACAGTACTACTACTTCTAGTACTACTAATAAAACAAATAAGCAAACAAGTAAAAAAAAAAAAAAAAGATAGATAAAGGAGGCCTTTTTCATATGTTTTTGAAATTACACTAAAGATAATATTGCAAAACCCATTTGCTGTCTTTGACACAGTAATCACAGAGCAGGAATATCACTTCTACATGTCTTGCCAACCAGGAATACAAAATAGGCTACCCAGTACCACAAGCTCTCAACACAAAGATGTAAAAACTAGAAGGGATCTCTTACTCCTAAAATTCTTCCATGACATTTAAAAACCACACCATGCCATGCATGCATGCCACACTGCACACACTTCAGCGACAAGAGAAAAGCAGAAGATACATAGGAGAAGTTATTTCAACCCTCATATTTATGGTGATGATTGTGGTCAGCTGTGTACTAGTTATCAGTGGCTTCCAAAAAAAATCACTAAGTAATCAAATCCCTATAACAATTTAAAATGGTGACAAGTGAATCAAATTTCAGCCTAGGAAATAAGAAACTAATGAGAATTTAGGACAATTAGGCACTTTTAGATTCTGAGACAAATTATTTTTATTCTATATTACTTATGGGAATTCACTAAAACACTCTAAACCATAGTGGTTGTCACCACAGTCTTGTAAATGATGAATTACCAGCTAAAGAAAGAATTGTATAACATTGTCTTCAATGAAGAGACTACAGCAAGCTGTATATAAGCACAAGTTACAGAAAGAAAAGCTGCTAAGGCAGAGAGATCAGTTGACTTTTCCTGGTGCCCACCAAGCGGTCTATCACTGCCCCTCCTCAGCTGCACAGGGGCAGAAAATACAGCAAAATCCTTATGGGTCAAGGTTAGGACAGAGAGAGATCACTCACCAATTACTGAGCAATGCAGGGGTTGGGGCACCATGGGTGACAGAGTTCTCCAGGACACATCTGCCTGCTCGTGTGTGGCCTCCTCCACAGGCTGCAGGGGAGACCTGCTTCCCTGTAGACCTTCATGATCTTCAGGGTCATAGCTGCCTTACAATGGTATTCATGAGTGTTTTTAGGAGAATCTCAGCTCTAGAACCTGTAGCATCTTTCTTTCATCCTTCTTTACTGACCTTGATGGTGTCATGGTTTGACCCTAGCACAATGCCAGGGCCTCCATGAAGAGTATATTTCTAAACACCCACCTTACTCACCCACGCCGGATTCCCGAAGAGGAAGTTCTCTGGGAATCTCCTGCTTTTAACCCCGGTGTGTTCTCAGATGCGTATCCAGACTCTTAGTGGCCACATCACATGCCAATTTTGAATTTGGCCACTGATTGGCCCGACTTAGACTTTTCTAGAAACACATTTCCGGCCAAACCACGACAGATGGCTACAAGGCAGTTTCTTTTCCATATTCTCACTCATCTTCTGGATGCTTTTTTTGCAGTAATTTTTACTTCTTAAATATGTTATCACAGAGGCACTGCCACCACTGATTCAGCTTTGGCCAGCAGTGGGTTCGTCTGAAGCTGGTTCTGATTTAATCTAACTTCAAGGCAACCTCTGACATCTTCTATCAAAGGTTGACTCCCTGTACCAGAACTGTGTAGGCAAACACACTACAGAAGAAAACTAGAAACCTAAATATAGGAATGAGTTTCTGCAGAATTTAAAGTGTTCATCAAAAAGCAGTTGTGTTACTGTTTTATGTCATATTCAACTAAATAAAAGGTCTTTTGGACAGAGGTAATTTAGGATGAGTTTTGGGGTTTTTTTGTTTTTTAAATGAAGAATCCTCTAGATAAATTTGCCCTCAGATAAACATCAGACAGTTCATCTGTTTAGCCCAGAAATAAGTACTGCACCTTTAAGACTGGTTCTGAGAGTGAAGTGGGGAGAGAGAAGTGTGGAGTTTGTTTTCAGTAACTGCACTCACTCCTCCACATTCCTGCTCCTGGATTGTGTTGTCTGCAGACAATCAGCAAGAGAGAGGTCTCCTTTGCTTTTTAGTTAGTTTTCAGCTAGCTGAGGCAGAGAAGTTCCCTGGACTGTGTTTTTTTTTTCCTTTTCTTAGAACAGTTTAAACCTGCTCTAGACTAGGGACCCAGAGAAGCACTGGAGGCTCACACCTATAGCCCACTGGGGCCTGGCCTGGGCCATGGTATTTTCCAGAGCCAGAGGGACTGACAAGAGATTCAGTGAGCCAAGCTACACCCCATGAAGGGACTTTATGAGTTTGTCATCTTTTTCAAGCGTTGAGAGGTTTTATTGTTTAATATTGTTCATTTTTCTGCTGGTAAATGCTTTGCCTATTAAATAAACAGGGGTTTTTTCCACTTTTCTCAAAGAAATATTTTCCCAAACCAATTAAAGAAGAGGCTACTTAGATTTGCTTTCTAGAAGGAACCCAATTCAGAGGTTTCCTCCAGAATTTGCCCTAAACCAAGACACCTACATATTTTCACAAATGCTGATTACATCTACTTGGAAGGAAATAAGTTGGTGTCATGGTTTGAGGCTGGCACAATGCCAGTACCCTCATGAAAATATAATTTCCCTAGTGACTTCTGTGAGATGTGATCAGGAACAGAGCAAAGCAGGCTTCAACTTTGGAGTAAAGAAAACAAACTTTATTAATTACAATATCTAAAAAGGAACAGACACGGCACTAAGAATGAAAACTTTCTAAATGCATTCTTCTTCCTTCCCCTCATTTCTTTTACAGCATGAAATAACACCATAGATTTCCACCTTGTTACTATCTCTCAGATAATCAACTTTCAGTCTATGACCACCCCTCAAATAATCAACCCTCAAGTCTATCAGGGAGAGAGAAGTCCCCCCTTGCACCATAGGCTTCCCCCGGAAACACAATTGAAACCTCTTTTGTTTCCATGTCACTCATGGCACTGCCCAGAGAACATCTGCCCTCATGACTTCTTCCCTTCCATGTCTAGTGCTCTCACCATTGCACACTAGGACTGCTTTTAGGGTTCTCTGTTTAAGGATGCTCCACCCAGTTCTAAAAGCAGCAGTCTCTCAACTTCGGGACATCAGTCCCCCCCAAATTTACCCCCTGGGGCCAAGGGGCCTCGTGAACAGAGATCTTCTTCTCCACTGAAGACAAAGGGCATCACCACACCCTCCTCAGCCATTTCTGTTCTCGCCACTGCCTCACTTTTGGCTCCAAGGCATTGCTTCCCCCTAAATGCAGTCTCTGGGTCACAGGAAAAAAACATGGGTCTGTCTATGGCTATACAAGAAAAGAGTCCAGCTCAAGGCCACTCCATCATATCCTCTCACTTAGGATTTTTCTCTCCTGACATTTCTCACGTGCATCAACTTTCATCATACTTGCTCATTTCTTCCTGCTTCATCTCTCTCTCCTCATTCTGATTCAGGAGGATCAGTATTTGTAAGATTTCTATTATTCTAGAAAGGGGTTAAAATCTTTGCCTCTGTCTGCCCAGAACTCCCACAGCGGCTGGACTCTTTCTCGCACTGCATCCCCCACTTCCCTTTCTGGCTGGCCATGCTGCCAGTCAGTGATCTCGAATTTCAAGGCAGCACAGGCACTGGCTCTCTACCTTCCAGGGGAGTAGAAGGGCTCAGGGCTCTTCTACTTTTCTATTTTGCCAAGCCTTCACCCCGCTCCTCTGCCCAAGGCTCTGCCCTACCTCACCCGGCCACATGGCTTCCCTCCCCCACCCAGCCCTGGCTGGGCAGGGGAGCTCTGACCTCCTCCACTGACCAGACCAAGAGAGAGTTCTCCTGGGAGTTCTCTGATTTCAACCCCCTCTGTTCTCAGAGGTGGTCTGTACCTTCAGGGGCCAAACCAGGTGTCAATATTCCAATCCAAGCACTGATTGGTTTGACCACCACCTCACAAAAAACTCAATTCCTTCTTAACCTACAGCAGTTGGTAAGGAGGCTTAAAGTTGATCCTTTTTTATAAATTTGAGAAATTAGATAAGAAAATAAATTGGACAAACTTAGCTGCTTTTTTTATAATGATAAATTTATATCAGGAGCTTCGGGAAAGGTTGGGGAAAAAAGACTGTAAGTGTTTTGCAAAAAGCTGTATGGAAAGTATAGAAGAGTAAATCATCAATGTACACAAAGCTACAGGGGAAAGAGAAAAAACAAACCTCAAACAAACCCAGCTACAATAGTTAATGTGTACTAAGGAAAAACATACCTGCAGCATGAATAGCATGGTGCTTAAAAGGTTCTGCCCTCTAAAAAAGACATGTAGTAAAGACAACCCAGTGAAAAGAGAATGATCAGAGGATCACAAAAAAAATACAAGCTTAAAAAAAATTAGATTTGATCTTTAAAATTAAAGTGAAGATCAACTTTTAACTAAATAACAGCAGATTTCCTTAGCTAGATACTAACAAAAAATGATATTTCAAGATCTTCTGCAATGCAAATTAGTCTTATGCTAAGACAAGCCTAATTCCCATCTGCTACTACTTTCTTCTGTTTGAAGAAAGAAATAATAAATTGAAAAGTAAATTGCTCTGAAGAACTAACTGTGGTATTTCCTTCACTTTTTAGAGTAAATAAATAGTCCTTACAAGTACCAAGTGGCTCAAAGCATTAGACTCTTACTTGAGTGCTCTTTGAGCACAGTTAAATTAAGAGCTTCCTTTTCTTTTAATTTCCAGTATATTTTTCTGTTTTCAGTTTGCTGGGAAGCTTTAATCTTTCCACTGTGTAGAGACTCCTGCTATGCCCAGTTTGGATGGTAGGTCAGTGCCACTGAGTCTCTGTAACCTCTGCCAAGGTTATGACCAAATTCCAGCTGGTACAGATGGTATCTATGACCTTCTCCATTTCCAGCAGTCATAAATGTATCAGGCTCTATTCCCTTCAATTAAGAACAGGTTTTTTTCACCAATAAAAGGCCTAATTTTGAAATTAATTAATCAATTGTTCTGGCTACTTTAGGATGAAACTCTGACTTCTAAACTGCTTCAACAAGTGCATTTTTTTCCTTCTGTGACAGTGCAGATCACTAATCCTTAATGATGCATGTAACAGACACACATGGAAGGTTTTCCATGTTTACATATAGGAGGGGGAAAAACACTAAGAGATAGTCGGAAAGATCATCTAAGTCATAGGTAACTACATGCATGTCTTATCTTTTGTTTCCTCCCCAAATTCCCTGCCATAATTAAGGATATGTTGTAATAGAGGAAAATGAGGGTCAGTTGTGACTACAGAGAGACTTTATTTCTTGTACGAAATTCTTGTGTAAAGGACAATCTGCTGGGCAGTAGACACATCTAGTAAACTAGAGTGAATTCCCTTTGTTTCTTGAGCATTTAAACAAATTCTAGGCACAGGAACTCTGATGAACTGAGTTATAATCTCCATACATTTACTTTATGTGTTAATGGCACATAATGTATCATTATTGATCCTCCATTTAACAGCATGATTCAATGTACAAACTACATGTGTAACAGGGATAAAGAACAGGCACTTTGGTAAATTGAATTCAAGCCAGTAAAAAAGACAGGAAGGGAGCAATAAATTATGCATTCCATTCATATTCCATGTATGTCACATCAAAAATAAGGAAAAAAAATGTATTAAATATCATAATTTCCTTTAGCTGACAACATGCATTGTTCAAAAAATAATACTCTTCATTGTGTGATTACAGCCATTCACCTTACTTCTTGCACCTACTACTGCAAAGTAGGAGCAACAAACTAAGCCTGCTGTGCGCATTTTTTCTGTACTATTGACTATAAGCTCAGCAAACTAAGTTCTTCTCAGGCATAAAATATGTCCTCATTATTGTGACATATTTTGTGAAGAAACTGAGTAAAATTGGAGTTGTTCCATGGTAACTGAGAGCAGAATTTAGTTTTCTGTCGTTTCAGTCCTTAAAAATAATATTCTAAGGGAGACAAAATTTATGGCAATGGAATGACAGTCACGATAGTCTGGCTGCTTTTCTGATTGTTTGTTGTTCTGAGACATTGATGTGTAGACTCCTCAATTCCAAAGGGAAAACTAGAATATGTTTTAATGGTTTCTTTCTCTCTGCACCCTAACATTTCAAGAGAAAGTCTAAAATGAATTTGAAAAATTTTCAAGCTAGCTGAAACTGATGTTCACTTTTAAGCATAGCATGTGTATG